TGAATTATTTTTCTAATTTATAATTCCACTCACACACGTACACACACACACACGAATGCTTTATAAAGACTTCTGAAAATCTCCAAGATTTTGAGGTCTACACACTTCCACTCATTACTACCATGGCAGTGAATCTCTTTTGACTCCTTAGCCAAAGTTTTATTACACACTTCTATAACCTAGGAATACCTCAGCCAGCTTGTAATGTAGTTACTCAATAATAAGCCTTAGTAAGTAATAAGCCTGGGTTTAAATGGGTTAAAAAAGAAGAAGTAAAAGAAAGGAAGAAAGAAAACAAATGGTTATCAGTTACTCTGACCAGATTATCTTAAAGCTTTCCAACTGAATTTTGTATATGGCCTTCATGATTTTATAATACTGTAATGTCATTGTCTGTGATCCACTACTGTATACTGTACTGTAGTGTAATGATAATGATGAAAAGATAATATGATGCATCTTTGGACAGCGACATCACCACATCTTATGACCTTATTGTATGTAAAAGTAACTAAAGATGATTGACATCCTTGAAATATATGCTGAGAAGTACTTTGCCCTCTTCGCTTTCCCCATGGCTCAGTACAAATACAGAGAGGCACGAATGCTGTCTGTCCTTCACGCACAAACATACACACTCACACATACCCAAGGTCATTGAACTGGTGGTAGGAACAGGCCTGTACTGAGGGAAGAGGTCATAAGGGTCAGTGTTGTTCCAAACGAATGGTCAGCACCACAGAGGATAGACAAGAGTCAATGACACGGAAACAAACTGACTGCCCATTTCTCTCTTGACCTCATCTTACACAGCAGCTGAAGTCTTTGGGAAGGAATGTGAAGGCTGGATGTGAAGGAATGGGAAGGCTTATCATTTAGTAAGTACAGGGACCTCAATACAAACTGCTTGAGCAATCATTAGATCATAGAACTGTGTAATAAAACTTTTGCGCCTGCCAGCGTGCCCTTGCCATTTAAAGAGTTAACTTAAAAGATTTGTTACTGTTGTTGATAGCATTTCTGTTCTAAACCAATGCACTCCATGCATTTTGCATAGACTTCACATCAGTTTGTCAAATAATGGAACTAATAGCTTTGATTAAAAAAAAAATACTATTGACTGAATCTTAATCTTAGCATCTGAGTGATGTTGTGTTAACATGATTAATTAGGGTAAACAGATTAATTGAGACATTAGCTTAAGAAACGTCATTCTTATTTTATACCTGACTCCATTGCTCACTCATCCGCTTATCTATGTATTGTCTCTAAGTAGCTTTCATTTTCTGTAAATCTTCTTATTTACAGGCTGTGTTTGGGTTTGGGGTAGTGCATATTGGTCTTTTGCTGTCAGATGACAGTATTAACATGACTGCAAAGCCATTTAACCACTGAAAGGATAAAAAATATGGGTCATCAAGTCAACAAATGAGCTGCTTTCTTATGAGAGCTTTGCGGTCAAACACCTCCAGATATCAGATATGTGCTAAACATGCCTTGCATAATACTATAAGATACTGGCAGCTCAGGGTAGATTAGAGGTAAGGGTGGGTGATAAAACGATATGACACTATTATCACAATAAAGTTGTCTTTTTTTAGATTACTACTACAGATTTCAAACAGAGCATAATCGAGAGCATAAGAGGCCAAATTTATTTGGATGTGATGCACAGTGCATGAAACATTCAATATAAATGACCGCATTTACTTTTGATCGTATTTTGTTTTCAATATTTAAAAAGTCAATTGTGTCGACTCTAATTTATTAAACTTTCGAAAAACAAAATAATGTGATGCATATTGTGCGTCGCAAAAATGTCTTCAAGTATTGTGACACTGTATTTTGTCCAAGGCCCCAAGTTATCTGTGTATAAAATTCCACACACTGTTAACATTACAATATGTATTCAGTGCACCAACAACCAATGGCTTACGTATATCAGAATAAAAGAACAGAAATGATTCATGTGAGCTTTCTCTGTATGTAAGCATGTCTGTCTATGAGGTAGAAGCTGCTAGCCAGCTGTTGTCGCAGCCAGCTGCTTCCTGATGGGAGGAATCTGATGACACATGCAAAAGACAGCAGCTCTTTCTCTCTCTCCCCCCGCTGGCCAATTCTATGGAAATCACTTATTCCCTCTGTGTAAACTACTTCAGGTTATAGCCCTCACTTATTCCATTTACTTCAGGATGGACTACGATCTGTGCTCACTGGGGATACAGTTCACAAGTTCACAAAGGATTATTAGGATTATGTCACACACATTTTACACCCCTTTGATAAGATACCTTACTAGTCAGTCTGTAAGTATAAAATAGACGAGTGCTGATATGCCATGTAGATGGACATTTTTTATATGTCATAACCCAACCTAGCAACAGTAGCCACAGACACATTTGAGGGCAGAGCACAGATATGTCAGTGAAAGTTTTACAATCAGCTAGTAGGACAATTCAGCTTCAAGTCAAAGACAGTTACCTTAACCCCTTACATGGCCATGGGCTCACTGGCAGGCCCAACGTTCTTATACACACTTCTATAACCTAAGAATAGCTCAACCCATTTGCACTGAAGTCCCTGTAGTTACTGATTAATAAGGCTTACTATGTAATAAGCCTGGGATTTTAAGGGGTTATACCAGTTTTTCCGATAAACAACCTCAATTGTTCCTTCAACAATGCTCCAACACATATAACTCGGCTTATAAGCTTTTCAGTGAGCCCTTCATTAAACCCCTTAAACCCTGAAGGCTTGTATGTGGGCTCATAGTTCATCATTCTCATAAATAACATATAGTTTCATAGCAGTTAATTAATAATCTAAAGTAGTTACCGGATAATTAGCATTAAGATTAACAATTAAATTACAGGCCCAGGGTTCAAGAGGTTAAAGCATGTATATTAGAGAAGACATTACGTGCAAAGCAGAGCTGCTTATGGATCAGTCCATTTGATATTATTATAGACAGTTTCTGTATCCAAGTGGTTATTATAATTGTATAATTAACAGCAAGAAGCCACACATAGCTTGATGCTATTTTAGTTCTATTTATCTTTTATTTGATTTACAAGTTAAGGTGAAGAAATCTAAAAAGAAAAAAAATAAGTTTTGCTCCTCTCTATGTAGGCTGCCTCTGCTCGTGTTCCTCAAAGGATGTTGGCCACACTGGATGCTTGTGTCCGATTACAGTAATCCACCTGTAAACACACAGGCTAACACTGTGTCTCTGCTTCAGCGCAATGAGCTTGGAGCGTCTCTCTCAAACATGCTGCAGACGTGCAAACCGCCAAACCGCTCACCATAATGCAACCTCTTATTCCCTAATCATGTTAGGCAGCTGTTAGAGTCTCCGCTTATGGCTCACAGGAGGAAGATGAAGATGCACTGTTAAAAAGTGCTTACAAATTCAATGACCTTAGCTATGTTCCAGCAAAACAATAAACAACACCCAAACATTAAAACACACTCTGTGACTGCTTACCAAATGTAAGCAGGCCTGGCTTGTTTTGATACAACTGCAGGCCGATTAAAACATTTACAGTGACATGAGAATCCTGCGTTTTCAGGTTTTGTTCTCATTGGACCATTTGTGCATTGAGAATGAGAGCACACTAGCCCAGACCAGTTTGCTACAGCAAGCTTCTATCCCAGCGTGTAAAGCAAAGCGCTTTGTAAATGAGCCTCAGCGGCCCTGTGCTCCTTTCAATCCTAGCAGCCCCAGTGTTGGTGTTGTGCGCCTCTTAAATCAAACGAGCACTTCACTTCCCTGCGATCAGGAAATCGCTTTGACACATCACATAATTAAAGGAAAGCGCAGGCTGTCCTGTGGTAATTCCCCAGGGTGCATTTCACATCAGATTGATCGCATTGAGTGAGGCCAAAAAAGGCGAACTTCAGACAGGCCCTCTACCAGCAGCAGTAGCTCATTTTGGTCTAACGGCCCAGTGTTTGTACAAGGCTCTTTCTCACTGTCTGGCTCTGATAGATTATTATTCCTACATATGGCATAGATTAAATTATATCTGAAGTGAGAAAACACCTTTTTCCTCAGCCTGTTTGAATGCAAAGATTTCCTTTGAGTGTGTTACTGTGTTGGAGAGGTGAGGGTGAGCTCAGCCGGACACAAAGCTTTCCTTAAAACGGTTGCTAATAGCAACATGCAAGCAGAAGAGCCGGTGTAAGAAAAAAGAGAGAGAGAGAAAAGAAACACTGCACTTCAAACCAACACAGTGATGAATTAATAAACATTAGTGTTGAATTAACACCTACAGTGTTGAAATATAATAGTCCAGCTGGACACCAATGACCACTTTAGGTGTTGATTCAACACCGGGGATTCAGCTGTGTAGGATGTCTCCCTTCCACACAGCTGAGACAAGTATCCCTTGAAATATAGCATATAGCAAATAGCACAATAACTGCCAGCTACAACAGCACAGATTATTAATGACTTTAATCATAATTTAGTGCCATTAGGAGCAATTTCAGCAGTCTTACGTCACTAGCCCTACACTCGTTCACTCCAGCTTCATTTTTAAGCTGCTTTGGAGAAATCATAGCCTTCAGCGTGTCGTGCAGAACTTCACACCAATGAGTTTACTTTTACCAGGGAAAAGTATATTAGGATAACAACAAACAGTAATGGTTCGCAGACTGAAAGGACATTTAGAGACACCTATGCGCGCTACATCTCTGCCCACATCAGCACAGCACGCTATGAAAAGCCGCTTTAATCCACGCAGCGCTGCGGGCATCTGAAAGTTGGGGTGTTCGTGTGTCTAGTTAACGAGTTCTGTTGTTTATAAGGGAAAAGAAGTCTGCAGACGTGGACGCGACCCCCGCCGGAGTGCGCATGCATGTGGCGTGCAAACACAGGCTGATAGTAAGTGAGAGTGTCACAGCAACACGTGAACCGCGGAGTGCACAAAACAACTATGGCGCCCAAAACAAATCGCTGACCAAAATGAAAGGGTAAAAAAGAGGAACATTGCTCTTACCGAATCTCAAAACGTGCGGCATTCCTCGAGAATATCCCACACATAAGAGAGGCAGCAGCAGAAGCCTGACACAGCACCTGAATCTCGCATGAGTTATGAGCGGGGAGGTAATCTTCATGATGCCTGCGGATAAAAACAGAAGAATGGACAAGTCTTTTTCGTCTTTGTTTGTTTTTAAAATTCCCTCGGATCGTAGAAGAAAGGTTCCCCCGGATCGTGCGCTGTGCAGGGCGGGATGATCACGGCATGGTCGCGGCTTCTGCCGCCAGCCTCTGCGTGTCCGTCTCACTGCGCCGAGCAGCAGCAGCAGCAGCAGCCTTCCGCCTGAGCGAGCGCCGGGGCGTCCATGTTAGTAGACGGGAGGCATCCGGGCCGAATCCATCCAGAAGGAAGAAGCCTGGAGGAGAGGAGGAGGAGGAGGAGATGAGGAGAAAGAGGAGGAAGAGGAGGAGGAGGTGAGCAAAGCAGCTCGAGCTCGAACTGGCTGGGTTTGTGGACGCTGAGGGAGGGAGAACCGGAGCCTATGGCCGATCGCGGAGCGCGCGCGCGCGGGGAGCCACGCACACGAGCTTTCCGGCGTTTCTACCGCACTGCTGCGCAGAGACTGACGTCGAGAGAGCGAGAGGGAGAGAGAGAGAGGGAGGAAGAGAGGGAGACAGAGGGAGAGAGGGAAAGAGAGAGAGAGACGCTGGTCGTGTTTGGCTGGGGGGTCGCTGACCGCGCATCGATCCCCCTCCGTAAATCAGCGGCGCCGAAACAACCGCGTGCGGCTTTTCTCCCGCGTCGCTCTCCGTAATTTCACAGATTTCTCATCAGATAGTATCAGATGCGACCCTACTGCACTCCCCCCAACCCCCCACCTCGCCCCCCCTCCCTCTGCGTTCAGCGGGCTGTTGTAAAGCTGTAGAAAACACAAAAATCGATCTGGAAATTGTAGATGCCCCGCACGGCTCCGGAACAGCGACGATGATCCGTGCAAAAAAAGAATGTCAACAGTTTGTAACGGTATCTTAGCGATCATAGTGCTTTCTCGCAGTCTTCCTCCCGCTTTGCTCTGATATCACGCAGGAAGACAAACACTGTGTGTTTTTCAAACGAACACACGCTCCATCGATGGTGAAATGTGTGAAAAAGCGGCGCTTGATATTTTCCTACTCACTCACTGTGAGCTACAGTAACTTATTCAGGCCTGTAGGAACATCTGAACCTGAGTTACAGTATGTAAGTGATAACGGAGCAGCCGCGTGACATTTTTTAGCCAGTCGTGGCTTTTTGTTTGTTAGATGACAAAGCTAATATTTCATGCCTGACCCTCTAAGCACTCGCGCGCAGCCAGTTCATGTCATTGTCCTCGTCACTGGGTCCTTATACTGCTTTTATTCATATGTACAAAAAAATACATCAAATACTGGAATCGCATGACGTAACTGAGCGACGTCGTGAATAACTTTTTTCGTTATGGTGAATCACAGTCACGACTGACCACAGCTCTGTGTCTTCAGTTTCAGGCCTATAGGAAGAATTCGCTGCAGGCTTTCTAACTTCACTGTAACACAAAAGGAGCACAGAGCTGTCACTCCACATCTAACATCACGACTGCTGATGATGTGAAGTGTAGGCATCCTGAGATTTCGCTGGAGTCTGAAATGGACCAGGCTACGTCGCGCGTCTTGTGTTTGTAACAGAGGGAAGCGTTCAGCACCGCGGACAGCGACAGGGCGGCCTAACAGCCAGAGCGCGGACTGTTCTTCATTACATACAGCGGTAAAATGTGTTCAGAGGGCAGAAAGCCTGGCGCTTATTAACACAGGACAGGCGTGCGGTTCAGTACAAGACAGTCAAATGAGGGAGGGTCTTTCAGAGCTGCCACCTTAGTGAATTCAGTCATCAGGAGCGTGACTACATATTTATTAACATGATAGTGAAGGAACGACTTTACACAGTTATCGATTGTCTATAGGCCTAATGCAGACTAGTCTTCCGGGATTTTTGCTGCATTGGATTTTGTATACACACACACACACACACACATACGTATATATATATATATATATATATATATATATATATATATATATATATAAATGTGTGTGTGTGTGTGTGTGTATGTAAAGAAATATGACGGATAAAAACAGACTAGCACGACGACTATTTTTTACTTTTTAAGGGTCCCCTTTTCCAATTTAACTCTTATTATTCTCTTTACTATTGAACTTTTTTGTTAGAATAAAAAAAAGAATAATTGAAAAATCCAAAGAAATAAAGTGAGTAGGCAGGCACGGTAAAAACTGAGTAGCAGCTCTGCCTCTCTGTCTCTCTGTCCACACGGAGCGCGTCTACTGGAGCTACATAAATTATAGCCCCTTTCAGGGTTGAGCACTGGCGCACTGTCTCTCATCCTCTAACGCCCCCACCCCTCACACCCCCCTCACACATACACCACCCCAATTAAAAGCTCACGTTTGAGAGTTTCTTGCTCTCGGGGTTCTAGATCGTGTGTTCGAGAGTCCTCGGTGAATTGTAGAATTATAACTTGGAGCTCCTCAGCAACGTCTCTGCACGCTTCTCATAAACTTAGTCTGAGCAGGTTAAATTCAGTGGTGCTCTGCGCTCTTCAGCGGGGATTTCTATACCCGTCTGATAATCTGCTTTGATAATGATTCGAGTATCTGCGGATCTTTCTTAAAGGAGATCAGTTTTAAGCTACAGTAAGCTCTAAACGCCTCCTTCATATTCTCTCAGTACAGATCAGTCCACACTACTCTGCTCGGGTGGGATTCGCTGTAGTCTAAACAGAGGTTTTACGCAGACACTGAGGGTCACATCTCAGTATGCTTTATTAACTACACATCATAACCCTCCCGGATACTGAGGATGGCCTCATGGGAAAACGCGCGCATCGCCGCGACATACTGCACGCGAATTTTCTGAAGTTTACATCGCGGGCGCACGATTTCCGAAGGGTCTCACGCCGGATCCGTCTGAGCTTTTAAAAATACAATATGAGCCACAAGAAGTTGACGGATCCTCGAGCGCGTTCTGCCTCGTGTCTGACCGTTTGGACTCCGTGTCCTGCTCTGAACGCGCCCCGAGAGAACGGCAGCAGTAAAGAAACAGCCTTACCTCTGCGGGAAAGAGCCACATGAGCCGAAGAGCTGAAGAGGCAGAAGAGCCAGCCGGGAAAGTAGTTGGGCTGATGGAGCGATGGACCAGCAGCAGCTCCGTCAGACAGCGCGGAGGAGACACGCCCCCTGTCGGACACAGGCGGCACTGCTTGAAGACACACACGGCTCTGGGCGCGTTATTACAAACACTAAAAAGTACAACAAACATATTTTATCCCCTAAACGCCTCCGCGATTTAAGAAACGAAGAGTGACAGGACGGACTTTTAACACGTATAGACCGATATGTTCTCTGATAATAAAACCCCGGACATTTTGGAGATGACGGAGATGTTTTAGTCAACCTTTAATAACCGATCGATATGATGATCATATATATATATATATATATATATATATATATATGTATATGTAAGTTATTGATTCTGTTATTGGAAAGTTTATCTATCTATCTATCTATCTATCTATCTATCTATCTATCTATCTATCTATGTATCAGCTGTTCTTTTTAAGTAAAAAAGTCTGTTTAAGTCTGTTTATCTATGTTTGTGTCTGTGTGTGTGTGTGTGTGTGTGTGTGTGAGAGAGAGAGAGAGAGAGAGAAACAAACAGAGAGAGAGAGGGAAAGAGAGAACAGTGAATGAGGAGAGAGAGAGAGAGAGAGAGAGATTCTCGCTGCCTCCCTCGTCTCTTTAATTACAGTCAGTCTTCCATATCGGAGAGGAAATTAATTATTCCCCTAATCTGCTTGAGGAAGTAATACCAACCTGCAGCAACGCACACACACACACACACACACACATCACACGCAGTGCAGTAAACAGTGAAGTGAAGAGTGGACACGACCACGTTCATATACATACAGCAAAGAAGACTGAACGCAGCAGTCTAAAATGTATACAGTGTTTAGGGGACGTATAATAATCATGATGTGGTGAATGGGACACTGTTACTGTTTTAGTGCATCCGCTTCAGATGTGCTGGTACGCCATTTTATGTTTTGTGAATGTGAATTCAGCAGTGATCATAATGTAGCCTTCTTTCAAGAAATAAAACTTTTTATAACTGAAAACTCAGTGGATTCATTACTCCTGTTATGACATGCAACCGATAAAGGAAGAATGTTATATCAATCAATTTTCTAGATAGAATGAATTAACTACTATCTATCTAACTATACTATTTAACTATCAAACACTAGAAAAAAGAGGACAAGCCCGCTGACAGTTACGCATAATGCAGTGCTGTATCTTCACTGAAGTATGCCGTTAAGTAAACAGGGATAATGTCATCAGTGGTCAGACTCTCTTTCAGCTGGAGGTCTAATTTCCAGCTGAAACACCTTGTGTCTAGAACAGTTATTTATATGACACCCCCATTAAGACCTTTCAGCTGCTTTTGACGTGGAGGAGCTTTAATAAGGTCTTTCAGCAGCGAGCTCCTCTGAAGTTTGGTCCCTAATGAGCCCTTGGTCTTCCTCATTGTCCCGGATGAAGACAGAGGTGGAGCACCACACAGGCCTGATCAGCCCTCGCTCTCAGAGCCTGTCATGCTTCTTACTGGAATGTGTCTCCTTAACGTTACTGTGGAAACGTTCGTGCTGGTGTGAGAGACAGATACTCAGATGGCCATCCTGATTCCTCTCACGGCTGCTTTGCACATACATACACAGCGCCTTGTTTGATCAATAATGGACAGCTCTTCTATTCCTGCAGTGTTCTACTATCTTAATAATAAAGGTTCTCAAATGGTTCAGGCTTGGATGTCTGATTTTAGAAAAAAACTTAATTGGCATATAACCTTATATTATGTGGAGGTACTTTGACCTTTAAAAGGTTCTTCAGATTCACATATTGCATTTACAAAAATAATTCCTTAAAAAGTTGTTCATAGGGAGCCAAAATTGGTTCTTCCATAGCAACACTCCAAAGAATCCCTGTTTGATACCTCTATTTTTAACAGTGAATGCTATTAGTAACATTGTTCAGCTTTTTTATGGTACTTTCACTGTGTAGACTACAGCAGAGTTAATATATTTAGAAGCTAGACTGATGACAGTTACTCTGCATGTGGTCAGTAGGGGTTTTAACTGATTGAGGAAAAGCAGTTGGGGTCATTTTATCTTAGGAGAAGCTTTCAACAAAAAGCCAGAGTTGAAAATGACTTGGATTTACAATATTTTTTCTGTTGTTAAACGTTTTAGTGCTTGTGAATTTAAACTTTTATCATTTTAATTATTTAATTGTAGGTTAGAAATTAATATAATGTAATTTAGTCCATAGTAATCTTGTAGCTGCCTGCTGGCAAACAAGATTTAATCATTGCTCTGAGCTCGGTAGCAATTGTAACATTGTGTTAATCTGTACAAACATCTATTTTGTGCAATACTTTACATTTCA